TCCAGACAACCCAGATCAGTCCTCCTGGAGAAAATGGCTGCTCTGGATGGTGAACTCTATGGCTTTATACCTTGCTGAGGTGCCCCCTCCCCCCCCCCCCAATCTCCAGGTATTTCTCAACCAGAGCTAGCATCCCTACTCACAAGAGCTTATATCCTGGAAAAATGTGTTGGCGAAACCAAATTCAGAGTTTTTCTACTACTACAGATTAACATAGCTGCCCACCTGGGAAAAAAAAATCCTGCTGCTTTCCTTAAGATGAAAAAACAGCCGTGGGGTGGGGGGGGGGAGGATTTCCTGTATTAATCTTTCCTCCCTTGTGCCATTTCTCCTGATAGAATCCCTCATCTAGTCAGTTGGCTAAAAGGGGGTAGCTAAAAGAATGTCCCCTCCCCGAGTTGCAGGCCTGATCTAAATCCCTCCCCTTGGCTGCGTTTTAATGGCAAAGAAAATACAGAAAGATGCATCATTGGTGGTAGCTTTGGCCTTCCCTACCACAGTAGAGGGAATACCTCTCATAGGCCTATAGTAAAAAGGTAAAGGTTCCCTTGCTTGAAAGCCAGTCGAATCCGACTCTAGGGTTGCGGTGCTCATCTCCGTTTCAAAAGCCGAAGAGCCAGCGCTGTCTGAAGACGTTTCCGTGGTCATGTGGCCGGCATGACTAAACACCAAGGCGCATGGAACGCTGTTACCTTCCCACCGAAGTGGTACCTATTTATCTACTTGCAATTTCTTGCTTTCGAACTGCTAGGTTGGCAGGAGCTGGAACTAGAGACGGCCTATAGTAGTGAAGGCCAAACTAAACATGGGATTTGAAATCGCCCCCTCCTGGGCAAAGTTGGTATCAACTCACGTGGGAAGGACCTCAGGTGTTTGTTTGGTAAGCAAACCTGCCAATCCACCTGTCCTCTGAGATGCCTGAATAGTGCCCAGCTGAGGAATTCAAGTGATCGTAGGGCATTCATTTGAGTGGCACAGCAGCACTGAAACAGTAAAGGACACTGAGGAGAGTTAACCTTTTAGTTCTCAGCACTGCAACTCAGGGTCCAAAACAGATGAGACTACAGGGCAGATCCATGACTGGATTTCCCTCAGACATGTTTAAAGAGTCAATCAGTTTTTCAAGAAGGACTGGAAGAGGTATCTGTGGGAGCCCCCCCCCCGCGTAGTTTCATTAATCCAAACTGCCTCCCTTTCATACACTGTTATTCTTTCAGGGGAAAAGATGGGTGAAATACTTTAATGGCCTTTTTGTACTTTAAAGGCCTTAACAACCATGCAGTTTTGCTTAGCACAACCACGTGAGGATGGCAGGGTTAAATCCCCAGCCTCCCCCTCATATGGCTCTGGTGCATGCCCAGGCCACATGCTGCTGATACTGCTCTTTAAAAGCCAGGGATCTTCATGATCTCCGTCACCTCTACAGTAACCTTCAGCTAGCTGACGACCTGCAACTGCAAGTGGAATGAACACTCTCTCCCCCCCACCACCACCTTTGCTGATGTTCTTGTGCCAACTTTTAGATTGGAAGCACTTCAGGGTGGAGACCTTGTCTAGCCTCTGTCAGGCAGCACAATCTACATGGATGGCTTGGTATATAAATCAGACTGAGGTGTAACGAATATTAAACTGCGCTGGCTACCTTTATCCGTACTCCCATGCTATTTAGTATGTTTATTTGCTTTAGGAAACAATGGTGTGCCGCTTCTCTAGAGACCTGCCCAAGGTGGCTGGGTCTCTCCTACCCCCCTCCCTCTGTTGCCATTGCCCACTGTGAATATTTCGATGGCAGGCTCCTGCTGGGCAAGGCCTCCTCTCTTTCCTTGCCTGTGAAACTCTGCAAGACATGCCAATGGCATAATAATTGGGGGAGGGGGGGAAGCAATGCCCCCTCCTCTGAATCCGTATCTCAGGTAATCCGCTGGGCACCAAAAGGGAACAGAGCAGCTCGTTTGCTGTTATTGTCTGTGGCAAACAGAGAAAACACAGAAGATTTGAGGAGCTGATCCCCGAAGTGAAGTGAAGGATGGAAAAGGATATCAAGAACCGACTGGCGTCTTGCCTCCCCTGCCTTTGCCCAATCCTCCCTGGCAGCAGAGATTGTAAGAGAGATTCTCCTCCCCCTTCCCTCTGTTGTACCTGAGCATATATATAAGCATCTGCTGCAAGGTAAGAATAGCTGGGATGACTCACCGGCCTGTCTGCTTCTAATGAAGGAGCGGTTTTTTTCTCCTCCCCTAATGTAGTTTTAATCTGTACTTAGCCTTCTCCTCCCTCCTCATTCAGAGCAGGCAGGGCTTTCACAGCCAAAGGTGTATGTTGGGAGCAGAGGAGACCAAAGGACCTCCGCACCTGAAAACTCCCACTTAATCAGTAATAAGCAACCAGGTACAAAAGCCATGCAGATACCTTTTATCAAGACCAACCATCATCACCTGCCAATTCTGGAATATCTGGCTGGCCTCAAAAGGGAGGCGTGACAACCGGTGAACCCTTGTGGGTTTTGAATTAGCTAGAAACTGTACCTCTGTGTTATTTCTAAGCTCCGTGTTTCTCTTCCCCTCATTTGTCTGTTTGTGGGAGCACAGTTTAAACCTTCCTTTAAACATTGGAATAGTTGCTTCGAGACTTCCTGGGCTTCTTCCCCCACAGTCAGCTGCTCAACTCATGCTGCTTTACACACAAGGAGACTTGGGGAGGGAGAAGCAATTGCCTTGCTGGAGACGGGGAACCTGATTGCAAAAGTCTAGCTGTGCTAGTCAGTCATATCAAAATAAAGCAAGGATCCAATCACAACCTTAAAGACTAACAACATTTATTTTAATATGAGCTTTCGTGGGTCTCAGCCCACTTGGTCAGATAGATAGCCTGTGAGATCTACAAGTAGGGGACCCACAAGGACTTGCAGGGCATCTCATTTTCTTCTCCCACACTATTTCCTCTTCCCCTTTCCTGAAAGCCCCCTAGCCTTTCCTCTTTTCCTGCTTCCTTCTTTCTCTCCCATCCATCAGCCAACCTATCTTCATACTCTGCCATCTTCAACATTCCTTTATTCCCTCCCCCCTGCCAGCCAGCTTCTACCTGGGAAAACTATGGCCCAGTTGCATGGTGCCAGCTGCTGTGCCCAGTTGTGCAGTGCAGGACTCTGGACCAATGCTCCCTCTGAGCTGTGGAGTCTTGTGAGCAAAAATTCAACTTTGTGAGCTACTGGCATTAAAGTTGTGAGCAAGCTATTTGGCTACTGCATAAATCAGTTTGCTTTGGAGCCCTCCTTCCTGAGCTAAGACAAAAATGTGTGAGCCGGAGGCTAAAAAACTGTGAGCTAGCTCACACTAACTCAGCATAGAGGGAACACTGCTCTGGACCCAGTTGCCAGGTGGGGAACCTACAAGGACTTGCAGGGGGCACCTCAGTCTCCCTCGTATCTCCTCACACAATTTCCTCTTTGCCTCCTCCTGGCAACCCACATGTCCTCACTTTTCCCTGCTTCCTTTTTTCCTTCCTAATCACCAGCCAACCTACCTTTTATCTTCCCTCTATCTTCAGCTATATTTATTAACTTCATTTATACCTTACCTTTCTCTCCGAGTGGGAAGCAAATCAGCTTACATCTGTTCATGGCTCCAGTTTCCAGATCTAAATATCCACAAATCTGACCACACTGAGAATTAGATATAGAGATACAGAGGGAGAGGGAGAGAGAGATACACAGTAGCAGAGATCTAGAGCTGTTTGGGGGCAGTCCATTAATGTCACAAATAATTAGCCCTCCCCCCCCAATAGTGGCAGTTCTGCTAAACGCATAATATGTAAAGCTGTTGGGGGCTGTGCTTAAAGTCTCTTTAAACACAACCACAGAGAAGATCCATTATATGGCTTTTGGCTTTGGATTTTCCTATGGACCAATTTGGCTACCTACTTTTGTCTCTTGTTAAACAACTGGAACAAAGTTTTAGTCCAGTGGCACCTTTAAGACCAATGAAGTTTAATTCTGGTTATAAACTTTAGTGTGCGTGCACATTTCTCCAGACACATTGAAACAGATTTCCTCAAGCCTTACATATAGATAGTGTAAGTCATGAGGCAGCAACCTGAATCTTCTTGGGTTTCTGATTCTCACTCCTGTTACGTAAGTTAACTATCTGCTGTGGCAGAGTTGTACACAGAGTCAGTGAAGCAGCAAAGGAGCTGGTGAAGCTGCCTCATACAGAGTCAGACCTCTAGCTTGGTGTTGTCTGCTCGGACTGGCAGCAGCTCTCTAGGTTCCTCAGGCAAATCAAGAGCCTTCCCAGAATCCCTGAAGTGGAGAGAGGCCAGGGATTGAATGCGGGACCTTCCGCATGCCTAGCGGGCGTTGTGCTATAGAGCCACAGTCCCTACCGTCCCCTAAACAAAAGGCAAGTTTGGGCAAGAGGGTTGGGACCTGGATGTTTTACAAAGTTCTTGTCTCTCCCATGCAGGGCCGTAGCCAGGATTTTTGACTTCGGGGGGCATTTAAATAAATCAGGGGGCACCCCCACACACATACCCCAGGCTGTGTCAGAAGTGATGAGTGAGTGAAAGTTTTAAAAAGTGACGAGAGAGGTGAGAGGCAAAGCTGCCAGCAGGCAGGGCAGGGCAATGGCTTGGCGTGCGCAAAAAATAAAACCAGCTTGCTGGGAAGTCGGGAGGCCTGGGTCGTGAATCGAGGGGGCCCAGCCCCGAGATGCCCCACTGTCGCTATGGGCCTGCTTCCATGGCTACTGGAACAAACATATGTATGCAAATGAATTTTAACTTCCATCATTTTGTTTAAGCCACAGGTTGGTGTGTTATCATAGCAAAAGGCTTCGGATTTAACCTCTCGCAAAATGTGCACAGCTCTGCTCAACTCCCTTGTCGGCTGCATAGCCCTTCTGGACTCTTCCCGGCCTGCCAGGCCGCACAACCCTTGAGCCAGCCACGTTGCTAACCACCCCCTCCCGCCTCACCCCCCCTCCCCGCTTTCTTTGTCTCTCCAGCTCTCTGCCTGGTGCTGGGCTGCATGATATTCCCAGACGGCTGGGATTCAGAGAAGGTCAGGGACATGTGTGGGGAGAAGACGGGGAAGTACTCGCTGGGCGACTGCTCCGTGCGCTGGGCCTACATCCTGGCCATCATCGGCATCTTGAACGCCCTCATCCTCTCCTTCCTGGCCTTTGTCCTGGGCAACCGGCAGAATGACCTGCTTCTCGAGGAGCTCAAAACAGAAAACAAAGGTGAGTGCCACCCGTTTCCCCCCCCTCCCTTGCAGACAATACAGCCTTTGGTTCCCACTGCCCACCTTTCTCGAGCCCTGAAGCAGCTCATAGAGCATCGCAGGCGGAGACCAAGGTTCCTAATGGCCCTTCCAAGGGGGCAGTGGCTGATGTAACCCAGTGGCCGGGAGAAATGGCACCAACAACAGCCTCCGGCAAGAGGTCTTCTCCCATCTGCGGGCAAGGATGTCAGTCAGGCCCTGTAGCCAGACCTTTTTTCAGGGGGGGGGCAAAGTGGGGGCATGGTGGCTACTTGAATTAAACTATATCAATGAACGGAGACTTCCACAATTCCCTCATAAAGCATCGGAAACACAACCACAGCCTTTAAAAAGTGCGTGATCTGGTGCTGAATTTAGGGAAGCGATTGTGAATGCACCAATGAAGTCCGGGGTGACAGGGGCTCTTGCCTTGAAAACACCACGGGGTCCCCAAGAATCTGACGTGACTCCATGGCCCTCCTTCCCCGCCTGCCCGCTCTCGCTCGCTCTGCCTTAGTGAGCAGCAGCCGGGCCCTTTGCACGTGATGGGGCTGGGGGCAGAGCCAGCTGTGTGCACAATCGCTTGCTCCGGCCCTCCCTTCTCCTTCCCCCAGGCCATGTGCTTACTCTGCACACCTGGGGAACCAGGTGAGAGAGGGAAATGCTGCCATGAAGGGCTTGGAGTGGCGGCAGCTGTAGGCTTCACGGGGAGGGAAGGGGAGGGTCTGGCACCCATTGGGAAGGGGACCGGGAACATCTGAGGGGGGCTTAGCCCCACCCTCGCCGCTGGCTACCTACAGCCCTGAGGCCAGTGCTGCTGCGCATGGATGCAAGAAGAGGGCACATGGTTGAGCCACTTCAGCATCAGAGCGGGACAGGGTCTACTTGCAGACCACCATCCAGCTCCCCACCCTCTGAAAGGGCGGGAGCTCCCTTTTAGGGCAGGGCCTTGGTTCTGCCTCCTCTCTCATTCTTTTGCACAACGTTTCGTCATTTGGACAGTGGAGCCATGTCTGTTCTTAGCTCAAAATGCAGGTGTGGGTAGCTGACCTGTGGGTTAGGGTCAGATCACGTTGTCTATTGGATGCCCCAGCCTGCTGATTGTATTTGACTTATTCTGTGTAATTTGCCTGCGAGACACAAAGGCGGGCTATACATAAAGTAAGTAGATGAATAAGCCGTGGTGACAGTCCTCGAAGCAGGAGAGCAGTGGGATGAAGTAAAGCATAGGGGAGGCAGTCAAAGGCTCTGGATCCGTCCTCCAGCCCGGTGCTTTCCCTCCTGAACCTGATTCTACCTGAGTGTTCATGGACCACAAAGGTGCCAAGACCAGAAGTAACTTCTCTTTCCAGAAGAAAAATGGCCGGGAAGAAGTGGTGGGTGGATGCAGGCAGGGAAAGGACCGTCACCACCCCCACCTAAATGCCAGTGCTTCATTGAAAATCTTCTGCCCTGACCTGGATAGCCCAGGCAAGCCTGATCTTGTCAGACCTCGGAAGCTAAGCAGGGCTGACCCTGGCAAGTACTTGGATGGGAGACCTCCTTAGAATGCGAGGGCCGGGACTCAGAGGCAGGCAATACCAAAGCCACCACTCTGAAATGTCCACTAGGGGTTGCCAGGAGTCAACCAGGACTTCCAGGCACACACACACACATACACACAATACAAAAGAAAAAGGAAATCTTCCCATTCTCAGCTTATCAGAATTTGGCACAACCTACATTCCAACATATGGGTTGGACTGCTCTAAATTTGTTCCTTACCTCACTAAGCAGCAACTGTGTGATCCCCCCTCCCCATGGAAGAGTACAGCTTTGTGCATGGGCAGCGTGCCCAACTATAGTGACTATGCAAGAGTCCAATCTTCTCCTGCCAGAGGGATGCAGGGGCAGGAGTGGAGCTTGGTACACATAAGATCCCATATCCTCTGTCAACTGCTTTGGCACTGCCTTGCAGACATGTGCAAGCAGCAGGTAGTGCCTTAGAGCAAACAGTGTGCAATTCCTCCATGCTCCTGTCATGGTGGTGTATCTATGTGCATCCTGGTCTTGCAAACAACAGGTCAAAGTTAGGTCTTCAGAAAGTGAAGTGCTGGATGGGAAGAGATCATGTACTGTGCAGCGCTTGCTCAGATCATGATAAAGCCAGCGCTGCCTTTCCAGAACGGGAGAAGCTGAAGCACAGGTCTTGCTTACAAGTCACTTGGGTCCTGGATGCTTTGTAATTCCAGATGAGCGACGGCCAACTGCAGTTATTCAGGCAAAGGCACTCTCCTTGGATCAAGACTCCACAAGTCCCAGAACTAAGAGCAGGGGTGTGCCTGGACCTTGGCAGAACTGAAGACTTGGAATGAAATTGTCTTCCAAATTCATACTGGCCCCGCAACCTGGATGCATATTAGAATCATTCAGAAACCCAAGCTCCACAGAGAGCTATCCTTCATATGGGGACGGCAAAAAATTAAAGCTAAACAGTTCAAGTGAGTGCAAGAAACTCTAAAGGCCAGAAAGTCCCAAACTCATTCTTTACGGCCCACCCCCATCCCCAATAAATCAACATCTTGGTTAGAATCCCATTCTAATTAACATAACTCAGCCATTAGCAAATTCAATTAGCAGTTCCCCCAGAAACCATTTAAAGTTTCCCATAGGAACCAGTGATGTTTCCCAAAGAGCTACTTTTTATAAAAGAGAGCTATCAGTTCCAGTGTTCCCTCTAAGCTGAGTTAGTGTGAGCTAGCTCAAAGTTTTTTAGCTTCTGGCTCAAAGATTTTTGTCGTAGCTCGGGAAGGATGGCTCCAGAGCAAGCTAGTTCATGCAGTAGCCAAACCTTTGATGCCAGTAGCTCACAAAGTTGAATTTTTGCTGACAAGACTCCACAGCTTAGAGGGAGCACCTCCATGTTGTGTTTTTGTATAAATGTTTTCCCACCTGAACTCAGTCACCCCCCCACACACTGCGATTCTAAGCCAGGAATCAGCCAAGATTTAGAGTCCCTGATTGCAGAGAAAAATAAACTCAGACTTGCGTTCAAACTGAGATACCACCACAAATTGTGGTTAACAACTAAACCAGAAAACCCTCAGTCTCTGTTTTGGAGACATGGGGTGGTCAGACGGAGGGAACACACGAGCCCCTGAGTGAACCCGCCATCTGCTCGCCTTGGGGGGGGGTCTGGTAGAAAGTGCTGTCAAGTCGCAGCTGACTTATGGCTACCCTGTAGGGTTTCCAAGGTAAGAGACGAACAGAAGTGGTTTTCCATTGCCTGCCTCTGCAGAGTAACCCTGGACTTCCTTGGTGGTCCCCCAGCCAAGGACTCACCTGGGGCCAACCCTGCTTAGCTTCGGAGACCTGACGAGACTGGGCTCGCCTGGGCCATCCACCGGGCTTCCAGCTTAGCCTCTTCCCCACCTGCAGGTGTTCCTGCCGCTCCTCCTCAGGCCAGTTAGGGAGCGAATGGAGCCTAGAGCTTGCGTAGTGGGGGGCGGAGGGGTGATGGCCCCTGAAGTCCCCTTTGTCTTGATGCAGAAGCTCTGTATGGTCTGAAGGGGGGGGGCTGGGTTGAAACAAAAATCAGAAAACAGGGATGCCAGCCTCCAGGTGGGGTCTGGGAATCCCCTGGAATTACAGCTCATCTCCAGATTACAGAGATCAGCTCCCCTGGAGAAAATGGATGCTTTGGAAGGTGGACTCTATGGGCACTCTATCCCACTAAGGTCCCTGTCCTCCCCAGGCTCCACCCCCCCCCCCAAATCTCCAGGAGTTTCCCAACCTGGATCTGGCAACCCTAGAAACCTACAGTTCCTAAACAACTTGGAGCAGCAGGAGCAGCCGCTGCACCCCCATCTAAACTGCATGAAAGTAGTTTAATCCGTAATGCCCTTACCTGTCTCCAAAAAGATGGCCAATGGCAGCTTCCAGAAGAAGAAGAGATTGGATTTGTACCCCGCCCTTCACTACCCGAAGGTGTCTCAGAGCGGTTTACAAACTCCTTTCCCTTCCCTTCCCCACAACAGACTCCCTGTGAGGTAGGTGGGGCTGAGAGAGCTCTGACAGAGACTGCTCTTTTTCAAGAACAGTTCTTATCAGAACTACGGCTTGCCCAAGGTCATCCAGCCAGGTGCAAGTGGAGGAGTGGGGAATCAAACCCGGTTCTCCCAGATTAGAGTCTGCGCACTTAACCACTACACCAGACTGGCTCTATATATGTATACCAGAAATATATATATTTTGGGTCGTTCTACACCTTAAAAATATATATATATATGGGTGCTACCTCCTGGACTGAGAAGTGTTGCTATTCCTGTAACAGCTGGTTGTCAACAACCTGTCCAGCAAATTTAGCTTCTCCCATCCCTGGCAGTGCTATGAGGAGAGAATCCACACCTGCTTCAGAAGCCTGTTGGCTAAGAAGCAGGGCAGAAATTGTCAAGAAAAACATACCTCTCTACACCACCACCGCCCTGGAGGCCCAAGCAGCAGCAGCAGCGGTGTCCATGTCCCTTTAGGCTTTGGCTCCAAATGTATGCAAAGGCAGCAGGCCCACATATTAAAACATTAGTTTACTTCAATTCAATATATAGGAGTGCCTGGAGGGAGGATTTCATTTATCAATAATAGAAGTATGCAGAGAGGGTGAAGCCTAGGGTTGCCAATTGCCAGATGGCACCTGGAGATCTCCCACTATTACAATTGATCTCCAGATGACCAAGATCAGCTCCCCTGAAGAAAATGACTGCTTTGGAGGCTGGACTCTATGGCATTATATCCTGCTGAGGTCGCTCCCCTCCACAAGTTTCTCCCCCCAAATCTCCAGGTATTTCTCAGCCCAGAGCTGACAACACAGGGGGGCTTTACCTCCCTGCCACCTGGCCCTCAGCCAGACGTGGATACCTGCACTGAGCGGGGCGGGGGGGGGGGGGGGGGGCACTGGATGAGCCAATATTTCAGCCAGGCATCAGACTCCCACGGCCTGCTTCC